GATTTGTTTGCGTAATTCGTTGTCGAAGTGATCTTTCATTGTCTGATTTTGCTGTTTAATGTCTTCCTTGATACTCCAGATCATCTGAAGCATGTATATCCTGAATTCTTTATCTGACATTCCATCTGCTGCAGCTGTTACCTCTTCTAAAGTTGCGTTGACCTGCATTGCTTGTGGTCCTTTCTTTCCTTGTCTTTTCATACTGCTTGCGTATCTTTCCTGCAGGTGCGGGCGGCGGCTCTGCTCTCTCCTTATTCCAATTGGGGTGTCGTGGCTACCACGCCGGCAGGTCACTGGGCCTGTTCTGGGAGCTGGTGGCGGCTCTGTTCTGCCCCTACTCCAATTGGGGTGACGTGTCTGTCGTACCAGCAGGCCACTGGGCCTGTCCTGCTGGTCGGTCGCAGATCTGCCCACCTTTTGGGCACGAGTGGAGGCTCTGCTTTGCCCCTACTCCAATTGGGGTGTTGTGACTACCCCGCCTGCAGGATGCTGGGTCTGTTCCTGGCAAGGGAGGCGACTCTGCTCTGTCACTACTCCAATTAGGGTGGTGTTTGTACCCCGCCGGCAGGCTCCTGGGCCTGATCCGCCGGTCTGTTGTAGGTCTGCCTACCTTGAAGGCGCGGGCGGCGGATCTGCCCTGCCCCTCCTACCACGCCTGCGGACCCCTGGGCCTGATCTGCAGGTTGATCACTGGTCTGCTCACCCTGCGGGCACGGGTGACGGTTCCGCTCCACCCCCACTCCAATTGGGGTCACGTGACCACCACACCGGCAGGGCCTGATCCGGGCGTGGGATAAGGATCTGCTCTGCCCCTACTCGAGTTGGGGTGACGTGTGTACCACACTGGCAGGCCACTGGGCCTGACCCGCCAGGCTGTCACAGGTCTGTTTACCTTGCAAGCGCGAAGGGCGGCTCTGCCCTGCCCCTCCTACCACGCCCATGTACTACTGGGTCGTGGGTCTGCCCACCTGGCGGGTGTGGGTGTCGGCTCCGCTCCGCCCCCTCTCCAATTGGGGTCACGCGGTCACCACGCTGGCGAGCCGCTGGGCCTGCTCCGGGGGCTGGCGGCGGCCCGGCTCCTTCCCTCCGGCTCGAGGACAAATTGAGGAGACTCGGGTGACTGAGCCTCACCCCCCTTACCAGAAGACCAACTGCTTATGTCACCGCTGGTATTGATGAAGATCTCTCCTCCACCGCTTTCTGCTGACATCAGATCTCTGCCATGTTGGTATCCTATGCGAATGGCAGCATTTCGTCCCCCTTGCCAGGCAACCCAAGCAATGGGTGAGTCCTGACCTGCCCTCAGCAGGACCCGGACCGAGACACAGTTTCCGCGGGCTCCTAGCCCCGGTCCAGGGAAGTTCCGGGAGCCGGAACTCGGCCGCTCCGTGCTCGGTGTAAGCTCCTATAAGTGTAGGCTCCAAGAAGCAGCCCCCGCGGGCTCAGTTCCGGGAGCCGGAATTCGGCCGCTTAGTGTTTGGTGTATGCTCTGATAGTAGCAGGGTTCAAGAAGCAGCCTCCGCGGGCTCCGCAGCCCTGAGCCAGGGCGGTTCCGGGACGGTTCCGGGAGCCGGAACTCGGCCGCTCTGTGCTCGGTGTAAGCTCCTATAAGTGTAAGCTCCAAGAAGCAGTCCCCGCGGGCTCAGTTCCGGGAGCTGGAATTCGGCTTCTTGGTGTTTCGTGTTTGCTCTGATATTAGCAGGGTCCAAGAAGCAGCCTCCGCAGGCTCCGCAGCCCGGAGCCAGGGCGGTTCCGGGACGGTTCCGGGAGCCGGGACTCGGCCGCCCCGCGCTCCGTGTTCACTCCGATAAGATCAGATTTTAAGAAGCCCCCAGGCGCTGAACCCTAGCAATCTGTCTGCAAGCCGCAGGCGAATTGCAGCCTGAAATTACCTGTTCTATGGCTGAATGAGCTGCGGTCAGTCAAAAACAGGTGTGGTGACGTCAGTTTACCAACATGGTGGCTGCTGGCCTCCTCTGTGGTCTGACCGGTGTGGAGAACCGAGATGGACCGCTTCCTTCCCCGTCTCGAACCCAGAATTCAGCCCTGAGTGCGGTGCTTGCGCGTCTGGCAGAAACTGCAGCGCTGTAACCCTGCGTCTCTATCCCAGCGCGCCTTGCAGACTCTAGCCGCGGGGCGATTTGCTGAATAAGTAGTATTACCCTCCGTGCGACAAACCTCTCGCGTTTGAGTCCCCGTAGCCGATCCTCATGCGATGGAAATCCTTCCTCCAGGTTCCGGCGCACCCCACTATTGCTGGAAATTCCTAACAAGATATCCTTTAGCCGTCCTGACTTGTCATACTCCCACACAGTGAAGCAGCACACGGGGGTAATGCACTCCCCTCGCCGCCATCTTCCCTCCTCCCTGAACTATAACTTCTTATAGCAGCTTTCCTGTCTCCGTTGGGACTAAGTGTAGGTTTCCTATTACTTGAGATTTTTAAAAATTTAAACTGACTTTAAAAGGCACTGAAGTCATACTAATTTGGGGAAAATCATTAAATTATGAAGGGATAACTTGGCTGATTTGAGCTAACTTGGTCTCATTAATCAGGATTTCTTAATAAGAATTTATGTGTAGTCATTTTCACTGCTGGTAACCTTTGAAAGAGATATAAAAGCATCTACTTAATTTCTGCCAAATGCATTCTGCTGTGTGAGTTCCAAATCTGGAGCAGATATGGCCCATTGGTATTAGGCTCTGAGCTGAGCTCTATTGTGTTATTCTATGGAAGAAACTGGGAGGAGTATTACCACCGGGAAAATGGGATTACTCACCCCAGGGTAACTGACTACTTTTTCTATGTATGAGCAAACTGCTGAGGAATGGATTATAACCCCTGAAAACCAGTAGCCATCTTTTACATAATAGTGCATACTCAAGGCATCTGTAATGCTGTCAGGAAAGAATAGATACATTTTTCATCCTCTCTGGCACTTCATAGTTTTAGTTTTTCTTCTGATTGCTTTGGTTTGGCTCACTAACTAGATAATCCATGAATCCAAGAAGTGATACCTAGACTTCATTTCTTTATATGCTCCCTCATTTCACAAGGAATTTACACCAGAATTCTTGTAATTGAACCTTCCTACATCAGCACTCTGGAAACGGAAGCTATGAGAAGCAATTTTCCCAAAGCTCAACTCTAATGAGTGAATTTCTCTCATAAAATAACACAATACACTTGATCCTAAGTGCAATGGGAGGATGTTAAGCAAGGGATAGAAATATAATCAGATTTGTATGTTAGGACCACAACAGCTCTGCTGGGTGAGGGATGGATTGGGGAGGATTGCTGAAAGGACGGAATGTGGAGATGAGTAGAAAGCTCTCCATTAATTCAGATGAGAAATGATAATGACTTACAATAGGGTAGGATGGAAAGATGCAAGATAACATTTTAAAGACAGAATAAACATTACTAGTTGATGGCTTGAAGGTACAGTTGAGGAATGAGAGGTATTAATGCTTAATTCCTGGTTGAATGACAGGTACAGATATTGTTGATGGGTACTCAGGTGAGGAGACTTGGCCTTGGAACCATCTGGGAACTTAGAGGAATAAAAAGCTCTATGTTATTTAAGATGCTCGTAAGACATCTAGTGGAAAAAACATAAAGGAGGAGTTGAATATATAGCTCTTCAGCTCAGAAATTGATGTGGGCTAAATATGTGAATGTGGAGGATGTCAGTATATAAATAGTCTCTGATTTTGAGGGAATGATTCACCTATTTGTGGTTTATTGAACTGACACTAAAGGAAAAGGATGGGTTTGAGGTATAAATTGAATAAATACTGGCATTTCATATATGGCAATATGATTAAAGCACCAAAACAGGAATGACATGGACCAATGGACTTGTTACCCCGTCAGGGAGAAATCAGAAGTAAAATGGGGTTGGTCACTGCTCCTGAGTCAGGCCATGGCTTCCCTTACGTACATTGGTTATATGAGCAGAGATCTATATGAACTCTTAGACCTTTACATATCAACAAGACTCCTTTTTGTAAGCTTTATTGATTTATATTATGAAAGATAAATCAAAGCCCAGCACAGTGGTGTATACCTTTAACCCCAGCAACTCAAGAGTCTAAGGCAGGAGGATCACAAGTTTGAGGCCAATTTCAACAACTTATTGAGACCCTGTCTCAAAATTTAAAAGAAAAGAAAAAAGCGGGGGTTGTAGCTCAGTGGTAGAGTGCCCGTGAGTTCAATCCCCCATACAGAAAAAAGAAAAAGAAGAAATGATAAAGCTTGCATAATTTGAGATAATTATGTTGGTCCTACATCATGAATGGTGAAGGACAGCCATCTCCCACATAACCACTTACTTCTGCATTTGCTAGTAATATGGTAGAAATAGGCCCAAATAATCAGAACTGCTGCTCTAGGAGTTGTGTGACTGTTGCCCTGGTGACAAGGTTGCAGTTCCCACTTCCTCTGCTCCATTAGGATAATGAGGAGAATTCACAAGGCATTGTCTACAGGAAGCTCCACACTCCCATCCATCACTCTTCACAGTCCACTATGCAGGGCCTGTTGTAGACATCCACCATCCTTCTTTTGGCAGAAGGAAGTTAGAAACTGAGAGAGGAGGCTGGGAACTTTTCCAGCTCAAAGAACAAAATGTTCTAGACGTTAATGGGGCCTAGAGATCATATACACCCATTTGAAAAATTTCTATTCCACCTCGCTAAGCAAGTTGACGCCTTTCCAAAATTATCTTTCACAGCACCTGACTTTCCAAGCAAGATTTGGCGAACTCCTAGCATCATCATTCTTTGTCACTAATAATTGTATCTGAGAATCCCTTGAGTGATACATCTCTTTCTGTGTCTAATTGCTCCATGTGCTTGGAAGCTATATATTTAAATATGTATTTAATTCTGTGCGATGCATGTGCATTTTCAATTGAGAAGTAAGGAAGCACTTGTAATTTGAGCCAGGAACTCAGGATTTACTCTGTACTGATTCTGCCTATTTTAACATTTTGCAGAAATGAAGACGCAGTCAATCAGATGGCTGTTCCTCCCTTCCCATTACCATCAAGCTCCCCATCTTCTATTGAGGTAAGGCTGCTCCTGATGAGCTCTGATTGCATTATGTGGTTTTGCCATGAGCATTTTCCCAAACTTGACATTTGGGATTTTCAGCATTTAGTATTACAAACACATCATACGTGTATTAACTAGCAAATTTCCCTAATATAAAAAACATTTGAGGTATTATTAAAAAGTAATGTAATGGCCAGGTGCAATGGCACATGCCTGTAATCCCAGCGGCTCTGGAGGCTGAGACAGGAGGATCATGAGTTCAAAGCCACTCTCAGTAAAAAACGAGACACTAAGCAACTCAGTGAGACCCTATCTCTAAATAAAATACAAAATAGGGCTTGGGATGTGGTTCAGTGGTCAAGTACAATCCCCAGAACTCTCCCCTCCCCCCAATAGGAAAAAAAAGTAATGTATCAAAATATAGTCTACTGTCATGTGTAACTAATTAGAACAAAAAAGTAATATAAACTATGTTAAACAAGCATATCAGAACTTAACCATATGAATATTATCATCTTCAAAGTTGCTTAAGATTTCCTCAAGTTCTATAATTTTATTCTGATTAGATACTTCAGAATTTATTAGAAGATCATTTTATGGCTGAACTGTACCCTTTCTTTATGGTTTCAAAGCACTTCAACACCTGCAATAACAAATGTCTTCAAACAGTTACTTCATCTATTAATGGAGAAATTATTAGAACAAGATTGTTATAATATTGGCATGCTTCTAGAGTTGGAGAGAAAGAGATAACTATTGTTATAAAGGTTGAGTATCTCTTATCTGATATGCTTGGGACCAGAAGTGTTTCAGATTTTGAATATTTGTATATTCATAATGAAATGGCTTAAGAATGGGACCCAAATCTAAACACAAAATTCATTTGCAAGGGGCTGGGATTGTGGCTTGGTGGTAGCATGCTTGCCTAGCATGCGTGAGGCACTGGGTTTGATTCTCAGCACCACATACAAGTAAATAAAATAAAGGTCCATCAACCACTAAAAAATATTTTTTAAAAAAAAATTCATTTATGTTTCAAATATATCTTGTACACATAGCCTAAATATAATTTTAGGCAGTATTTTTAGCATGCCAGTGTTTTGATTATGACCCTTCACATGAGATCAGATGTGAAATTGTCCACTTATAGCCTTATGTACATGCTCAAGCAAACAAACACAAAAAGATTTAGGAGCATTGTAGATTTGGGGATATTTGAATTAGGGATACTCAACCTGTATAATCAATTCGTCTCTTGAGATGAGAGAATATTCATTCCTTTCACATTTTTTTAAATTTTTTACTTATTAAATTACTTTTTTTCATTCCAAGAAGAAACACATACTTATTTGTAATTATAGATGTGAAATTATTAGGGAAAAAAGTTAATTTTCCTTTCACTACCAATTAATGGTTACTATTAAGTATCTTTCCATACTTTTTTCGTTGGTTCTACAACAAAAATATGTAACTATATATAAGTAATGTTCTTTTTAATAAAAATTTAATAATACAATAACACATTCTTCTCATTCATTCAATAAGTATCTCATAAGTTCATACTATGGTATTAGGCACCATTTTGATATTAGAGATATTTGTGTGAATAAAATAAGGCTCCCTGCCATGGATCAGCTTACATTCTAATGAGGAAAGAAATATAAATTAACTAACAAATAAATACACCAAAAAATGCTGAGAGCCATAGCTGAGTAGGAATGAAGCATGGCATTTTTGGTTGAAGGGTGATGCCAGCAAGCCATTGAGATGATAATGGTTATGTTAAGATGTGTATTCAATTGGATATTAGACCCTGCCTGGGCCTGCTACTGCTACTTTGGAGCTCTGCAGGGATTCCAGGAGAGTTCCCATTGGTTGGGGAAGTGCGGTAGGAGGGATTTCGGGAGGAGGGATTTCCAGTTGGTGTGGTGTGTCCCGGGAGAAGGCGTTTGTGGGAGTTTTGGAAATAAAGTTTGTTCCTGCTTGAGTGGCTCGCTCGTGATTCTGTGCCCAGCCAGACTGCGGCAAAAAAATTACCAGATAGTGGTCAGTGCCTGGCAGAAAACTAAAATAGAGAACATGGCCCAGTAACCACTTTCATTGATCATAGAGAAGGCCTCTTGGATAGGTGAAATTCAAATAAGATTGGAATGATAAGGAGCCAGGCTAGCGTGATTGTGTCCTGCATGTCTCCTCTGCAGCAGTCATTTATCTCTGCCTTCTCTTCCTACTAAGTGCGTGCCACCACCCCATGGAAGATTTAATGCAAATAGATGTGAACCCTCCTGAACTGCTCTTTGGTTGTGAATTAAAGGCTGATAAGTATTTTAGGGTGGATGGTGAAAAAAGCACCTGTTATCATTAAGAACAGTTTAGAACCAAGCACAAAGTCATGTGCTTGTAATCCAAGCAACCAGGGAGGCTCAGACAGGAGCATAGCACGTTTGAGGCCAAGCTGGGCAACTTAGTGAGTTAGTGAGATCCTGTCTTAAAATAAAAAAGAAAAAGGGTTGGGGCTGTAGCTCAGAGGTAGAGCACCCCTGGGTTCCATCCCCAGTACCACCACCAAAAAAAAAAAAAAAGAAAAGTGTCTGCTTAGGAGCTGTTGTACAAAGGATAAACTGCACATTTTTTTAAAAAGAGGCAATGAATTATGAAGTCAGTCCAATTTAAAAAATACTGGCATCTGTGACAATGTCTGTACAATCAACAGTTTCACTTGGGGACTTTGAAATTACACCACCTGTAGTCTTAAGGGTGAAATGTGATTTAGGGACTGATCGTTACTAGACAGCACTTAGTAGTTATGGAGGAAGATGCAGAGTTTGAAGATGAAGAGGAGGAGAATGGAAAACTCTTGAGTCTCTGGAAAGCCAGCTGCCCCTGGAAGTGGTAGTACAGTTCCACAGAGGAAAGTACAACGTTCTGACATAGAGTAGGAGGAGGAGGGCAGTGATGAAGGTGAAGACCACAAGATGATGGTTTTGGTGATGAGGAAACTGAAGAAAAAGCTCCAGTGAAGAAATCTATACAAGATACTCCAGCCAAAATTGCACAAAAAACAAACCAGAATGAAGCCATCGATACTAAAATGAAGGTCAAGAATCCAAAATGCAGGAAAAATTCCCCAACACACCCAAAGGATGTAGTGCAGTAGAAGACATTAAAGTAAAAATGCAACCAAATGGAGGAAAAGGTAGTTTTCCTTCCAAAGTGGAAGCCAAGTTTAATGATTTTGTGAAGAATTGCTTCCAGACAACTGCCCAGGAGGCTATTTGAGCTCTCCAACCGTGGAGGAAGTCTCTTTAAGAAAATGAACATTTCTTCAAAACGTTCTGTCTTGTTCCATATCTGTAACAGTTGATATCTGACTTTTTTTTTTTAATGCAAAGTGAAAACTTCCTCCACCGTGTTTGATAAATTATGTCCACGTTCCATTGCCAAGAACATGTTGTTCAAAATCCCTGTTTAGTTTTAAAAGATGCAACTCCACCATTTGCTGGGCTCAAGTACGTAGGGAATGTTATGATAGGACATAGTAACAGTGGTGGTCGGCCACGGGAATTGTGGGGAGACAAAAATATACCTGTGAAGTCAACTCAGCATTGAAAAAGAAGGAGCCAGACACAGAAAAGCTAGGAGGAAGAGTGTGCCCTGGAGAGGGGACCGAAATAGCTCTCAAGTGAGAATGAGCCTGAGGGAGAAGGAGGAAGGAGGCGGAGAGGCCTCAAGTCTGAGCAAGAAGCTGGTGTTGTATTTTGTGTGCTGTGGAAGCCAGCGAAAGGTTTTAAACAGGAGAGTGAAGTGACCTGATACATAATTTTTAGAGATCCATCTGGTCGTTTGAGGGATGGAAAATAATTTTTTTCTTTGGCCCCCATGGTTTCTAGTTAGAACAGACTCCTATAACAAAAGACAGATTACCAAGACAAAAACAGAATTTTATGAGTATATTATTTCACATATAATATATGAGAACCCAGGAATGAGTAGTTGTCAAAGAGATGCTTTTGAATTCCAGTTTTTGTAGCATCTTCACCAAAAAAAGAGTAATTTTTGTTTGTATTGAATCCAGAGTTGATATATTCTGAGCAACATCCCCAATCCCATTTATTTATTTGTTTGTTTAATTTCTTGAGACAGGGTCTCAGTCAATTGCTGAGGCTGGCCTCAAATGTCCTGCCTTGGCCTTCCAAGTTACCAAGAAAAAATTAGTGAATTTTCAGAGAAATGACAAGACAATGGCAAAAGACTTTGACTCTAGGGTTGGTAACTTAGAAGAAGGCAAATATCTAGTAAATAAAGGCTAATTAGTAAGTCTTGTTGCTGCAAGATTCCTCTGGTGCCATCTCCAGACCAGTAAGGATCCAAAGTTGTCTTCAGTGGCTAACTTTTGTTCTCCCTGGTGATTGCGGGGGATGACATTTTGCTGTTTATCTTTGTAAATCTAAGTCCTGCTTTTAGGCCCATATAGGAAAGGCAAGGCGTTCTCCTACATCTGCTTTTTAATTGCCTTCAGCTCAACGGCCCTTCTTATTTTCTGTGGGCATATGGGGGTATATATTACAGTCTCCTACAACTTCTAGGTAAGGAATGGACAGTAGGAAGGTAAACATAATATGCTGGAAGGCAGAAGCCCAGGTGAGACCTGAATATGGCTTGGATGAGGTACAGGTTATTAGAAGCAAAGAAAAGTGAGCAGAATCCAGCTGTTTCAGAGTTTTGAGTCAGACCTGATGGGTTAAAAGTGAGAGCTGAGGGGAAATATAGAATCACAGATTCCATTTTCTGGGTGGATTATGGTGCCATTTACTATAGTCTGTAGAAAAATTGCTTTTTCTCAATAAGGAGATAGAAATTAAGACGTTTATTTTAGGAGATTAAATTTGATATGTCGTACACATCATTCTGAATAGAGTCGATGCATTAAAAAATATATTACTCTGTTTGCCCAAGTGTATTTTCACTTTAAAAATGTTTCAATATGCTCTATCAGAGTTTTTTTCCTGGCTTAT